GTTGCATCGCCTCTCGTGGCTGAAGCGTTGGCACTTCGATCGGCTATGATACAGGCTCTGGAGATGCAACAGATGCAAGTAATCTTCAACTCAGACTCACAAATAATGATACGAGCGATCAATTTGGAGCTCCCAATATCGGAAATTCATGGAATCATATCGGACATTCGGCTAATGGCTGAACGCTTTTCCTCTGTAATTTTTAGACATATTTCTCGAGATGAGAATCATGAGGCCGACAGCTTGGCTAAAATGGGCCTCGATATTGTAATGGGCTAGCTCTTTATTAATCAAATGCAGTTGAACAAAAAAAAAAAAGATATGTTTGGAAAAGGTGTTTACTTTGCGGATATGTTCTCCAAAAGCAAAGGTTATTCCTTTTTCTCAGATTCCGTTTGCAAAGACGGTGTTTTACTATTGTGCGAGGTAACATTAATTTGATCTCTACCTAGCTCTACTTATAACCTTTTTAATTATTTCATTCAAATCGTTAAAAAAAACCTTATTGTAATATTTATATAGGTAGCTTTGCGTGAAATGGTTGAACTTGAAGTAGCAAACTATAATATAATGCTAATGAATTACCTCCTGGAAAGTTAAAGGTATACGATTTTTGTTTTGTTTTTGATAGAATGTAAATATTATTCAAAATAAACATTTTAGATTATACATTTTAGATTATATTGGTTTCAAAAAAAAAAAAAAAATTTAGATTATACATAATGTTTGACCTTATAACTTGGTCCCATGCTTAAAAAAATTAAGAACATGGACGCAACCAGAATCAGGCGTTTCTTTGCGTATACATTCATGTTATAACATTATAAACACGAAGAAGCAATCGTGGACATAACTCATAAGTAGAAATCAGTTATCTTATACATGATATTGAGATATATATTTTGGAATTATATGTATGATGTAGCACAAAAGAAATGGGAAGAAGAGAACCGAACCCGAAAGATGCTCGAACTCTAGAGGATGGTGTTGTTGTTCCACTTGGATGTCCAGTTGATCTCAATGATCATAAGGACACAAAGGGGTTGGTTCCCTTGTGTCTCAGATTTAAATCTCATTTGGTACGGAGGGTTATTCTTTAAATCGAAATTTTCAAAAACTGCCTCCGGATACCGAAGAGATTATGAGCCAAATATTCGGAACTCCCACGGTTTATAAAAAAAAATGATCATAAG